CATGAAATAATAGAAGCATTCGCTGACGTAAATAATTACCGGATATTAACTCACGGAGGTATCGCACATCACACATGTTCTGCACCAACCAACCCACCGTTGACGACTAATGATCATTCTTCAGTGGCATTACTTCAGATGACTGCGTTCACATCAAAACACTTCTAGCCCATCACTAACTTACTGTTACTGCTCTTAGCTTTATGAGCACGGCACTGCGTCTAAACGCGCGAGTTTTCGAACAAATAATCTTGAGATGATGGAGCTGAACAATTTCTTCCTGGAACGACGTCGACAAAGGATTGGACAGGAGAATGCGGTTTACGAGTGAGGCCATGCACCTCTATGTGGAAAACGACAAATGGTCATCGCGAGCAGTAGTTCGGGCCGTTCTTGGTTTCCTAAGATCCCAATTTTCGCGCTAAGCGCCAGATACACTGCAGTTATTTTCTTTTCTTCGGGTTTTACCCACTAAATTCGTACCTTCTGTTTTATGAGCGCCAAATCGGAAATTATAATATACACAAATTCTCAACAAATAAACCTTACGAAATCCATCACAGTTGCAGATTTGATGTTAATTCCATTGAAGCTAACATGTACTTTTTGCAAAGCCTTTGGGCGTCGCCGCTCAGTTTTAGCTTTGCGATGTTCCTGCTCTGGTGCGAAGATACGTTCCAAGATCACACATGTGCTTGCACAAAAGGAAATGATACTGACCAACTCCTTGGAAATTGGAGAATCATTTTTTAGAAGACTAGCGTACTGATGTGGAAGATACCCTGGGCAGTAAGGGTGATGAGCGAGGAGGCGAGTGAGGGCGACAATCTTCACTTTCATTGTTGCATAGCGAGCATCAATTTAGACTCATTTGGCTCTATTGGCAGGCCCCTAACCCTAGTCACTCCATATTAGCATCGCAGATGTCAGATTCCAATGTGTCTGAAGTTTGGATTTCCCGAACCCGAAAGAGTGTGGACTTTTTTTCAGTCTGAATCGGAGCTGATCCGGATTTCAATTTTTGAACTGCTGCAGCTCCACTGCTCCGTCCACGCAGTTTTCGCAGCCTTTATCACAGCCTTGTGTTGTTTGATAAAAATTATTTTTGGGGGGCATTTTTCGTCGACCTTTACTGCTTCGATACTTCTTGATGTTGGCTGCTTAAAGGACGAATTCACGATGAAAAAGCAACCCATTTCAAATTAACCTAGGGATGGTGAGTGGTACACGAAAGAAGGAAGAACCATGAGAAACGGCCCAGAACCCGAGAAATGGGACCCCTTCCTTGCCCGTTGATTTGAGCATTGATGCGACTCGCTGTGCCCTCTTCAACACTACGCTCTCTCAGCTATCTAATCACTCGCCACGTATTGAACTACGGCGAGTGATCAGATGATCGGTGGGCGGAGATCGCCGGACCCGCCAGCTTTGAGGCATGATAGGTCGCCGAGGTCAAATTTTTCCATGCGAATTGCGCGTCAGTTCGCACCCTCAGGAGGTCCGTGGGTCCCTCAACTAGGTCAGTTTCCCTTTCTTCGACCTTCATTCTAATCGTGAATTCCTCCTTTAAGGCTGAGCCACAAGACGATATTGTACGTAGCGAGGTGCTACAGCACTCAAACCTACTCATTCTTAGAACAAAAAAGGGTCAATCAGGTTGGAACCAGTCATCAGATCAAGAACCATAAAATAGGAGTTTATTTCTTCAAACAGTTGGGAAAACGTAAGTCCAGAGACAGGTGTCAGAGTCTATGACAGGAACTGCAACCCGCGCGGGTCGCAGCTTCCATCGTCGACTCTGACACCTGCCTTATCGAGTCTCAGACAGCTTGGTTTACTCTCGAGTACAAAAGTATAACTTCGCATTAGAAATTCCACACTACAGAGACTTGAATATGGGCTGTTTCTGTGGGGTTGCTAACTGTAACATAGATGCTAACTGCTATGGACCAACGATAGAGTAGTACGCGTATTGCTCCTTCGTGAAATGCTTACTCAAGGCTAGTCAGAAGTAGTCCGCGATTGGGCGCCTATTTTCGAAACTGCCACGTTGGGTGGCAAAATAGCAATTGCCATTGGAATCCGTAGGCTGAGCAGATGACAACTGCCGACCAGCGGCCTATCGAAGGCAGACCGGCGCAGCCGCCGCCGGCTTACGACAATGGTTCCACCCCCAAACTTAAGCGTTTGGCACACCATTACTTGCGAATTCATCACAATTCGACATCACGAAAGATGCTGATGAATGAATTTCCTATTTTTCACACTATTTTTTCGGCATTATATGCTTCACTGCCCGATTAGTATTTCAACAATGCTTGTTCTTGGCATTTCATCTGGCAACCAATAGAAACGTATTTCTCCTGTGCGCGAAACCATTGAAGGATGAAATAATCACAAAATCATTATCAAAGCGGTGCAGCCACTCCACCACTACCACCGGGGCAATGACGCAGACTCCTTCTCAGTTCAACCTATTCAATACTTCTTGATAGATGTGACGCGGCGCGAATAAGGGACAAAACATAAGCCGGTTCAGGTTACTTGCTAAGACAAAAAAGGTTGCATTATCAGGCGTTCAATGGCGTTCGACATTCGAAAAAATGAATGCCTAATAATATTAGGTTGTCCCATAATTAGTGAATCACTTTGGGTATTTTTGAATTCAAATTTTTTTCTTTTTATATGGAGTCTTTGCTCATCCAAACATACATCCTGTCATCTACAATGTATTGCCTATACAAGGAAATTTAGATTTGTCGGGCTGTGCGATAATAAAGTGTCTAGAATCCAGAAGCATATGGGATACGAAAAGAAATCATCGGAAGATCGCCATTTGACGATCGTGTCACTAGGGGCACAGATTTTAAATTCTCGCCTAGGAGAGACCGCTAGAGCGGTTAACTGAAGGCGGAACGCTCTATGCTTGGCAATAGGAATACAGCTCGAGACCGCAAGAACGCAAGATGCGGAACAAGCATCGGCTTCGGCTAGCTTGAGAGTCTCTAATTTTTTATGAATATTCTCCGCAAGGTGGGTCGAACGACCTCAGGAAAAAAGCAGACTTTGTCTTGCTTTACTTTCAAATTGAATGCGCCGCCATTACGCTGTAGATGTTGATCTTCTTCAGTGACTCTAGTCAGCCGGGATTAAAAACCAACGAACACCAAAGGTAACATACTTACTGAGGGAGGGCTGGGCTTCACAGCGACATTGGCTCCGTCTCAGTGCTCCAACCTCAATATCTCTGAAAACCATGCCCAGGGCAACGACGACGAGCGCGAACTCGGCGCCTAGCACATGAGGGGTTGGCGTTTTGCTATAGAACTCCCGGACAGTCGCTTCCGACTGGGTACGTCGCTACATCACCTGCGAGAAACTTTGCTAGTACACTTCAAGCAGAGTACACAGACCACTGCAGGGTGCTCGCCTGCGGACGCGAACTGACACAGCACGCTACAGGGACTAAGAAGAAGAGATCGGGAAGAGAAACAGTCGGACGCGATGTCAGAATCGTCAGATGCTGGGCAAGCTGTGGTCAGGACGTTCAAAACGCAGCACTGAAGCATTACAAATTGCACTATATTCTTTAGATCGTACAGGGTAACGAGGACGAATAAGGAAAAGGAAACTAGAAATCTACGGTAGGCACGTCACAGAATCTAATTTCTAACAAGTCGGGCGGACAATTGCTCTTAATCATTCACGGAAGGCGGACGTCAGTTGGCTCATATTGTCGCAGTGCGAGGGCGCTGTGAGTGGCGCTGGGATTATTAAGAAAAGGTGCATAGCTTGGCCCAGAAGTTTGGGGGGGGAGGGTTGGGAAGTGCTAGAGGAATGCAGATGTCTATAAAACTTATAAAAGAAAGCCACAACGTCTCGATAGACGTTGAAATAACTGAAGTGCAGAGGCGCTTGGAGTGACGGGGAGGCGTGCACTAATGGGCATGATACTTGTCAGGGGCCGAGTAAGAGTCATAGATATTTGGTTGTTGAGTTACTAGACAGCATGCGGTAGATGCACGAAGAAGTGATGAATAAAAGGGCGAAGACAAAGAATTATAAGCCGATTCCAGCACTAAGTAATTGGAGATAAGATGTCGTGCACCGGCGGGAGAGGACACTGGCGGATGGGCACTAGCATGGACCAAGTGGGTCGACGAGACGGGTCCACCCACTGGGAGATCAGTCATGCTCTAGTCAGGAGACAAAACTGTGGGGAATGCATTCGCTCATCTGCGCAACACCACTCGACTTCTACGACGGACCCTTCATCGACCATTTTCTTGGATTTATGTTTTTCACGGGGGAAATCAGACGGGGGTAAGTGGCTCCAAAAGTGGAGTACTCAAAGGGGACTGGTATATTGGCGCGGCAAACCTAAATAATGATAATACGACGTGTGCTCCCCCCCATGTGATACGCTACGCTGCCTCGAAGGCGAAGCAAATAGGGCGAGTAGCAAGTGACTGGATGAGGATGATTTTTAGGACAGGGAAAAGAAATCGGTGGAATCAGTTGCGACGGCAGCAGCACGCGCAGATGCGCGCGGCATCGCGCGATGACCTATTGCTGCATTTCCATGGGCTGAAAGCAGTCACTGAGACCATAGATCTTTCTTTAGAAAACAAGAAGAAATCACATCGATTATAGAGAGCTATTTCTTGGAATTTTTGCTGGGTAATGACGACTTCTGGTCCACTGGATTCATGGGTTCTTGGCATGGGTCTGCTAGAGCTAGTTCTGCTCTTGTTTTTGTTCCACGTATTGACAACCGCCAACATCTTTTTTTATCGGTATCTTCATTTGTGCAGGTAACCATTAATGTGATTTTGCCATTTATGCGCACCACGATGTTTTCTCCAATACGTGTCCTGGAAAACCCTTGGGCCACTGCTTTATGTGAACTACACTGAGAAAGCACTGCTCCTCTTGAGAAATAGCTTCTCAGGTCAAAATACGTCGTGTTCTATTCAACAACTCATGGATCTATGTTTCTGATGTCGATGAATCTACTTATTATCTCCAACTGGACGGCATATCTATATTTTGGCCTATGGCCATCTGCGGAAATTGGCTCATATTTGAGAGCGCCTATACGATCAATCATCGGAATAGATCTCAAAACAACAGCGTTTGTGGGCTTTTGCGTGAAGGTACGTCAGAATGCAGTCAAATCTCAAATTGGTCTGCCCAACCATCGGTCACGTGTTGAGACCGATAAACGAGTGGTGGTCGACAGCAGGATAAAAGGGTACTGGACCTTGATCAATCTCCTTATTGGGATGAGAAACGCATTCTATTCAGTTCCATTTTTACATTCGCAGTGGCAATTGAATGCGATTATAATCCTCAATAGTAAAATAAGAGTAAATAAATAAATAAATAAATAAATAAATAAATAAATAAATAAATAAATAAATAAATAAATAAATAAATAAATAAATAAATAAATAAATAAATAAATAAATAAATAAATAAATAAATAAATAAATAAATAAATAAATAAATAAATAAAATGAAATAAATTTGAGTTGTGAGTAAGGGATTTTAGGACAGGAAAAAGTTCGTCATGAGCGTAAGGCAACTCATTTTGTCTTAGACCATGTGATGGAACTCTTGCAGTTTGTTTTGTATGGGTACCACACCGGTAATAACTCGTACTCCCTCAAAAACTTATTAACTTTTTCCCCAAAACTGATTCGACAAGGTAATTGCCATGCACGTCTTGCAGTCCCGGGATAGCATAATTTTATATATTTATATTTTTCAATTGCAAATGGCATGTTTGGACTTCTTTGAAATAAATTAGGAGACAGGACAATTTAGCCTATTCAGTTTGAGAAACCCCTAATTCGAGCTCGTTTTTTGTTTACTGATAGTAGTTAGAGGAGGGCGCGCTTTATTCGGTTTTCGGTCAAGCTAATGGTAAGTTGGTGCTCATCAGTGGGTTTGGCAATTATGGGAAGCCAGCCCTCCGGCCCACATTATCTGCGACTAAAGGTTTTTCCACTTTTACTACCTGGAATTGCTTGTCTAGGGGCATACAATATCTAGTGAGGCTCTATAAACGTAGATATGTACGCTTTGGACACTAGGAATCAGCTTTTTGATCTTTTCGAAGCTAACCCCACGATACACGATGAATGAAATAGGTCTGGCGTACAGAAATAAAGGTCAAAATAAAAAATAATATAAAAAAAGGAATAAGCAATTGACATGATGAGAAGCATGCTTACAATAGAATAAAATGACATTACATAACACAAGCATGTATGGGGTGGGGGCTATGGGGGTGGGTCGAAAGGAAGAGGAAGGGCAGTGCCCCGGCCAAACACTGCAAGCCGCGGGGAGGGATCACGACTCCGGATACCAGCTTAGTAGATTGGCCCAGTTGCCCTTTTTATTCCAGAGTGGCCAGACAGCAGACCATCTTCCCACTAAGGGAAGCGATCGATAAATAAAGCTCATGACGGAATCCGTACAGTGACTTGTAGCATCTTTGCTTTCTATTCAATTTTCCCGAATCGGTTGTATGTTAAGCATTTTCATGATTGTAATCCTTTTTGTTAAGACGTGTGTGAACAAATCGTTGCAAGGAAGTGCGCTAGATAGCAGTTTCAGCGACAAAACGACGGAATGAACCAGCTAGCTTCCAGCGCTTGTTCGCACTGCTCCAAAGGTTGTGAAATGGGGGAATGGAACCTTTTCATCGAGAGTGTAGATTTCGACGGTTTCGAGCGGGGTTTCGGCAAATCTGACCCACGGATAAACCGCGCTGCAACTGAATGCTTTGCTGTACATTGATGGAACTCGCTTATTCACATCAAATCAAAGTTAGATCAAGACCCCGATCCGAGGGGGGTCGTACCGATGGGACCACGTCCTCGACACGATTTTCACCCTGCTTGGCAGTAGACACTATTTGGAGGTGTCGGGCTACCTCTTGAAGCTTGGGTCCTATTGAGTCGCTGGTACATCGTTCGACTCGCTGGTGCATCGTTCGATTCGCTGGTGCAACGTTCGATTCGCTAGCGAATCGCTCGATTCGCAAACTATGACATCGGCCTATGCAAGAATGCGGCATGATTTTGGCGCGCTCGCAAAGTGCTACCGTAAACGACGCTGCGCTTGTGCTGCTAAGGGAGCCCTACGCCGCTCCCCGCACTAACAGTAGGCAGAGATACTTCGTGGCGTCGTGACCCGTTTATTCGGGGAATTCTGATGAAGAGTCGCTCTGTACTGAGCAGAACGATGGCTGCAAAGGGTCCATAGTGCAATCAAGCTATCAGCGAAGTAAATAGGGTTCATTGTTAAAGAAGATTTGCATTTATAGATGGATCTTTAGCCTACACTCAAGTGGAGTCAATTTATATTTGTCATTGATTCCGTGGTTACATTGTCACTATTGACCTGTGCTGGAATCTACTGGGCTATACAAATCAATATCACGCTGAGAAAGTCTTCTCTCAGCAGTCATACAAAGGCTATGCACCGTCGAATGAACAGTCTTCTTGTGGTGCAGGTAAACTTTCTTCGAATTTTTTCTTGAAGAATCATTTAGAGAAACTTGCATTCATTATCCCGTTTGTCATTGAATTAGCGATCAGAGTATTCATATTTTCATGTTGAAGGAGAATACCACGATAAGACTGGAGGTCAAGGAAATACCCCGTGGAAAGGCAGGAGGGACCAGGGTGAATATTGCATGAATATTCCTCAACGGCACGTCGAGAATTTTCGCCTGCTCCTTTACGTTCTCACTCACGAATATTCACTCTCGCTCAGGGTGAATATCGCTTGAGGATTCCTCAACGGCACGTCGAGGATTCTCTGCCCGATCAGACACGATCTCTCGCGCGGACATTCACACTCGCCATGGGCGTGCCGTCTGTGCTCTTCGCGCATTGTAGCTCTCTCGTTATTAACTTCG